GGGTTTCACCATGTTGACCAGGATGGTCTCGATCTCTTGACCTCGTGATCCACCCGCCTCGGCCTCCCAAAGTGCTGGGATTACAGGCTTGAGCCACCGCGCCCGGCCTCGTTTCAATTCTTACAGCTTTGTGGTTATTTTTCAACTTAAAACACTAATTATGCTTTTTTTAAAAAAAGTATTTTTCCTTTGCTCACTTAGAGATGCTTAAGAATACTCACTTAACAAGTTAATTTCCTTTCCCAGAGGATGTTTACATACAAGTATTTTCAGTGGTATGAAAACATAACCTCAATTTTTCTAGGTATCAACAACCAATCTGCCTTGTCTTCTTAAGAGTCTGAGGGATTCTACCCACTATGGCATATACTCTTACCTGCCTTTGTTTTTCTAAGTCAAAGGATTTCCCAATTTATCACAGCTGGAATTTTCAGCTATCATGTACTAAACTTGAATGTAAAGAGGCAATAGTGTGTGTTACATGAACTCTATTAGTTTCCTTTTAGAGTGAATAAACTACAGAATACCTCAGTCTGAAACTTCTCACTTTCAAAATTAAAAAGCTATCAGAAATTTGTTCAAAGAGTGAATCCATAAAGATTAATACAAACACTTCATTCTTTTCACCAAGTGAACTACTACTGCAATAGCCTCCTCCTCCAACTCCCTGCACTTGCCTAACTCTTTTATTCCCCCCGCTTCCTCTAACTCTTCAGCCAGGAATGACATTGGAATCTGAGTCATCTCTCCCTTCTGATTGAGATTCCTTGGAAGATATCCCACTGCTATTAGGACAAAAACAAAACTCCTTTGCAAAGCCTATAAGCTTTCACACTCCCCCTGACCCCACCTCTGCAGGGTCAGTTCTTCATACTGGAAAAGCCCACTTTGGCCACAAGGCTTTCCGACAAATTAGCCTTTTTGTCTGGAATGTCTTTTCCTTTTCTCTTTCCTTAGTTAACTCCTGCTAGCCCTTCAGCTCTCAGCTCGATCCTCACTTGCTCAAGAAAGCCTTCTCCTTCCCTAAATAAGCCAAATTCCCTAGTTCACATTCTCCCATCACCGCGGAACTCTGCTCTGTGGCACTGTCACTCCGGTAATTTCATTGTTTCGTTCAGCGTCTGTCCGTCTGGCCAGGCGCAAGTCTGCGAAGGCAGAGGCAACCCCAGTGTTTCCACAGGGTCGGCGCTCAATATCCATGAAGAAATGAAAGCGCCTTCTAACGCATTAGACGATGAAACCAAGGCACACAACCTTGCTATAAAAAGTGAACAACCCATAGAAACGCTTTCTCTTTGTAAAGAGAAGGGCCTGACTTTAGAATGGCTAAACAGAGACATACAAATGTGAAGCGCGTACTGAATCCTTCCACTCAAACTCTGGGGAGCGATGGGATCTGAAAGAAGCTGCCCAACACAAGCAGTGAATGTGAATCACTTCGAGGCCGATTTTCCACAGCGGCTGGGCAGAGAGCTGCAAACATTAACAGTGCTAGCACAGAGCCCGCAGCGGGGAGAAACGGTGAGGCTTCTGCTTCCTCCTCGCTCAGATGCCCCCTTCCGCCCCACTAGGCCACCCCTTCCTCCTCCCCGCCTCAAGCGAGGGGATGGAAAATTCATACACAATCCGGTTCAGCATCCGGGTCCTCATCCTCCTTTCTTTCTTTCCTCTTCGCCCCGCCTCCCAGCCTCCCCCGCCCTCCTTCCCATCCGGGTTCCCCCCGGCCGCCGCCACTGCCGCTCACGGTTCAACGATGATATCACGACTTTGACGCCGCCGGTCCGGGAGTAGCAGCGCCCTGCATCAACTTCCTACTTTATAGTGCGGACATAGGCTCTTCCTGTTGCCTACAAGAATCCTTCCCACTACTTCTCCACAGAACGCTCCACCCTCCTCAGCCGCCAGCGACACCGCATTACTCGGTGCAAGAAAATGCGCCATCCCGGTCACACTGCGCAGGCGTCGTTGCCGCCTCCCCACTGCTCTGTTGCCCCGCCCCTTTCACCTCCCCCCACTCCGGTCCCACGCAGGCGCGGGGCATTGCGGGCCTTGCAGTTCTTGCGGACGAGGATTTGCGCGTTGGCCCAAGAGACTGGACTCCATTTCCCAGAAAGCTTTGAGGCGTAACTTTCTGTTTCCATAGAACTGGTGGGAAAATGGCGTCGTTGTTTGTATGCAGGGACCAATAGGAACAGTGTATAGGTGGGTTCTAAAGAACTTTAGCCAATCCGAGGTCGTCTAAGAGGCCATCCGGGAAAGAGGTAGGGGAGGGTGAAAAAATCTAGGGGAGGGGAGAAAGGAGGCGGGCGGGGGGACCTCGAGTCGGGGGGAAGCGATGTTTGCCCGTCAGTCGAGTCCGGAGTGAGGAGCTCGGTCGCCGGAGCGGAGGGAGACTCTTGAGCTTCAGCTTGCCGCCGCCACGGCCACCGCCTGGACCTTTGCCCGGAGGGAGCTGCAGAGGGTCTGTCGCCGCCGTCCTCTGGAGGGCAGCGCGATTGGGGGCCCGGACCTCCAGTCCGGGAGGGATTTTTCGTCGTCCCCCTCCCCCCAACCAGGGAGCCCGAGCGGCCGCCAAACAAAGGTACCAGTCGCCGCCGCGGGAGGAGGAGGAGCCGGAGCCTCTGCCTCAGCAGCCGCTGGACCCGCCGCCCTTCTTCCCCATCTCTCCCCCGGGCCTGCTGGTTTTGGGGGGGAGGAGGAGAGAGGGGACTCTGGACGTGCCAGGGTCAGATCTCGCCTCCGAGGAAGGTAGGGACATTATCTGGGGCTTTCGTGGTCTCCTAAGGGGTGTCCTTTTGGGAGTCGCTGGGCCCAGCCGAGGAGCAGAGGAAGATCGCGGTAGTGGTCCCTGCGGCGCCCGTATTCGGGGCCTCGGCCTCCCGGGAGCCCCCACCCCTCGCAGTCGCCGGGTCCGAGCCGCCCCCTGGCTGGGCGGCCGCACACTCAGCGGTTTAGCGGCCGCGGTGGGGGGCCCGGGCCGGGTAGGGGCCGTGCCGCCTTCGGGGCCCTCGGCCATCACGTTGTCCCCGCGGCGGGGCCAGATGTTGATCCCGCTCCCACTTGTCGGGTCTGCGCCCTGAGCGGGACGTGGGCAGAGGCTCTGCGGCGGGCCAGTCCTGCCCGCGGCCCACAGGCCCTCCTGCCCCCTCGGCGGCCCTCGGCTGGCCTCCCGCTCGGACTCTGCCCGTGGGGGCGCTGACTCGCTGGGGCCGGCGCCGAGGCCCTCGGGGAGAGCGGCCGGCCTTGCGCCGGACGCCGGGCTTGTTGTGAGTTTCTTCTCTGACAGAAATGGCGTCATTGTCGTAGACGGGAAACTCCGTCGGTTCTCGACAATGGGGACGGGAAGCCGCCGAGCTGTGTAGGTGGCTGGGTTTGCGGGGATGGCGGGGCCAGAGGGAGCCCCGAGTCGGCGTGTGATGGTTCGGGGCTGGCGCCCTGGTCCGGCTCTTTCTTCGGGGTTCGGGTGTCGCTGGATTCCTTCCCTCCGCCTCCACCAGTGCAGAGGGGTGCCTGTGGGGTTGACTGGGTGTCTTTTGTTTCCCCTTCAGGTGCAGGTGAACCTGGTGTTTTAGAGGATATCTTGGTCCCAGAGTCATCATGAAGGTAAGATTGCCAGCAGAAAACGAATCTCTGGGGTTATCGAATTCAGGAAGTAGGGGGCTCGGACCAGGTCGTCGTGTGGGGCTTCCGAGTTTTGCAGAGGAAGATGTGTTTGATTGCTTGGTGACCGAGCCCTTCCCCAGAAAGACATCGGGGTCAGCTCGAGGGCTTTGCTGTGGAGTTGGAGGCAGTTAAAGGTTATCTCAACTGAAGATGGTTCTCCCCTACTCTTTTTGTAGGGAATGAGAAGAATAACCGTATGAATTAAAGTATTTTAAACGGTAAAATAAAAAGCAGGTCAGGTAATCCGACTCTAGAAACTGAACTGTATTGTGGTTCTATCAGTTACACTGATGAAAGAAAATCTCATTTATTGTGTAAACAGTACTGTAAAATTTTAGCGGAAAACTTTTTGACTAGTCACAAAAATAATCTTAATTGAAAGATTTAAAAAGAGAATTTTGGTGATCTTTTCACAGTGGAGAGATAGCAGTTGTTTCTTCCATTTCCAAGGACTTAGGGTTATATGGTTTATTTTTCTTTATTGATCTGGTTGGTCTGCAAATAAGTTAGAGGCTCTGTTGCATTGTGATGTATGGAAAACTGATGGCCCGCTTCCTCTTAGGTGTAAACATGTTAACTGAGTAGAGAATAGGATCAAACAACTTGCTTAATTGTTGGAAGAAATGATAACGATAAAAGTACAGGGTTTTTTTTTGTTACTTTAGAGAATATGTGTGGGAATGCGGTCTTCTTTTTTTTTTAAGCACATACTAGAATAAAACCTTAGATTTTTGAAAAGTCTAGATTCAACTGGTGGAACTTAGGCACTACCTTATATTTTTTTCATCCATTGCAAATTCAGAAGTGCTTGAAAAGTAGAGTGTATTCACAGGTGTAGAAATGCAGCAGAGAGCATGTTAGAATATAAAGGTTGTCTACTTTTGACAGTTCCTTTGAACTATTTAAAAAATATTTCACTTGTCTTCAGAATCAAGACTGCTTTGACATTACTGTATCCAAATTAAGATTTGTAATACTTGTGTTTATAGAAGAAAGAAAAAGCTGTGGCTACTTAAATCTTGATCTACTGTACACGGTAATTAAGTTAGTCCAGTTTTTTTAAGGTTTTCTCTTTTTGAGTTTGAGATTCTGCAAACTACCTGAAACAGTTTATGCCTATCTCCCTTTCGTGTAAATGAAAACAGCATAGTGATGTATCAGGAATGAATCCCTTTTATTAGTCACAAATCCTAGCTATAACTCTCAGGACATGTGTAAAACAGTGAAAAGTGCATTTATTAGGTAACTCATACATGCACCTTGGTGTTGGATGAGAATTTCTTAAGAAAAGTTTTGGGTTGAATGATACAGAATAAGTTCAGAAGCTGAATAAATAAAAGGTTTAGTTTGGAGCAAATGCAGTCTGGCACAGGTCCCAGTGTTGTAGTGCCCGTCACTTCTTAGGTGCTCTGTAAATGTTTGGTTAAAAGAAATGTAGTTAAGTTGAAAGTCTTTGAGATTAGAATGTTTTTTTCCTTTCATTTCCTTGTTTTTTTTTTTTTTTTTTTTTTTTTTTTTTTTTTTTTTTTTTTTTTTTTTTTTTTTTTAACTAGTCTGTTTAAAAAAATGAAAGTATGTTGGAAACCTTAGCCTTAAAAGTTTCCTGGTAATTCTAGCCAAATGCAAATTTTTTGGTGTTATTTTAGAACTACTAATTTTAATTGCTCAGCATTTCTGTTCTTACTGCCTTTTTTTAAAAAGTTACTTTTAATGTTAAAAGAAAAAAGAGTTACTAAAATAAATTTCTAACTTTGTATAAGAACTTCCTTTTATTATAAGTATAGCAAATCTTCTCTTAGAGAATCTGCTAGTAATCATTAGTACTAAAAACTTAGCTTGTTTCTTGCAAGTTTATTTCTTGTGTGATAAAAGATGAAAAGCTTCTTGTAATTTGTGTTTTGCTTTAGGAAAAATTGCAATTCAGAATTTATTTAATGTTGATTATATTAGGCTTAACTCTTCTTTCTTTTTCTATGTTTCCCAATTTCTTTCTTTTTCTTTTTGAAACGGAGTCTCTCACTTTTTTGCCTTGGCTGGCGGGATCTGAAACTTCCGCCTCCTGGGCTCAAATGATTCTCCCACCTCAGCCTCCTGAGTAGCTGGGACTAAAGGCAAACCTGGCTAATTTTTGTTTTTTTTGTAGAGATGAGGTTTTGCCATGTTGCCCAGGCTGGTATTGGACTCCTAGGCTCAAGTGATTTGCCCACCTCAGCCTTCCAAAGTACTAGGATTACAGGGGAGAGTCACTATGCCACTGTAATTTCTGTATTACGATGGTCATTGTGCTAGAAAAGGTTTTATGCCATTTATTGGATTTTACCAAACATATTTGTACTTTGTAGCAAGCTTTTAAGCTTGAATTGTCTGTTGTATTAACAACAGATCTATAAATTTTATTAACTGACAGTTTATTGAGGTGATAGAAAGACTATGTAGTAATACTTTTCAGTTTTAAAGTTTCAAAAAAATGCTGTTTTAAGTGTTACATGTTTTAACAATTTTCCTGTGTACTACCTTTAAGAATTTATGTAAATAAAAAATTCCCATTACTGACTAGTATATGCTATCTTGTAATATTTTTCCAGTGTGTTTTTGAGGAATATGATTTGTAGTACAAAAGGAAATTGTGCTGTAATATAGATCATGATGTTGGTGTTAAGTTGAATTTATTTTTCATGCACTTGATAGACTTTTAAAAATCAGTGGTACTGGCTGGGTGCAGTCACTCATACCTGTAATCACAGCACTTTGGGAGGCCAAGTCAGGAGGATCACCTGAGGTCAAGAGTTCAAGACCAGCCTGGCTAACATGGTGAAACCCTTTCTAAACTAAAAATACAGAATTAGCTGGGCATTGTATGGCTGTAATCCCAGCTACTCGGAAGGCAGAGGTAGGGGAATCACTTGAACCTGGGAGGCAGAGGTTGCAGTGAGCTGAGATCATGCCACTGCACTCCAGCCTGGGCGAAAAAAGTGAAACTCTGTTTCAAAAAAAAAAAAAAGTAAATAAATAGATAAAATAAAAATCAGTGGTATCACATTATCACTAGATAGTAGCTTATTAAAGTTTGTAAATAATTCCAAGACTTACATGTCAGGTTGATATTTTACTTTTCTTTTTTTAACTAAAAAATTTTTTTCTGCATCTGTATGGTACATGTTATCAACATCTCTCATTACATAGCAGTAAATTTTCAATTAAAATGGGCTGGACATACCAGACTCTTTAGAGGATGAGTGATTTAGATAGTTATACCTTGCTGGGCATGGTGGCTCATGCTTGTAATCCCAGCACTTTGGGAGGCTGAGGTGGGTGGATCACTTGAGGTCAGGAGTTTGAGAGCCCCCTGGCCAAAATGGTGAAACTCTGTCTCTACTAAAAGTGCAAAAAAATTAGCTGGGGATGGTGGTACATGCCTGTATTCCCAGCTACTCAGGAGGCTGAGGAAGGAGGATCGATTGGACCCAGGAGGTGGAGGTTGCCATGAATTAAGATGGCATCACTCCACTCTAGCTTAAGTGACAGGGAGACTCCATCTCAGAAAAAAAAAAAGGATGGTTATACTTAGAATCTGCATACATTGGCTTTTTCAGATATACTTTTCTTTCTTCAATAATGACTGGCTTTTGCCACATGAAAATAATGGATTGTTTACAAATCCGCTTTTTTAATGCCCTGTGTGTGTGTGTACATGTTCTCCCTCTCTCCCCCTTCTACCTTTCTTTCTCTCCCTATCCACTCTTGTCAGTTCCTTCCCCTCTTTCCCTTTTTTTCTTTCCCTGTATCGTTTTTTCCTTCCTCCTCTTCCTTCTGTCCCATCCCTCCTTCATAAATCATTCATTCGTTTAACAACAGCCTCTTCCATGTATCAGGTGATATGGAATGAAGGTGGGTAAGGTAGACCGGCTTTTGAGGAGCTCACAGTGTTGCAGAAGATGCAGATAAATAAAGCAAAACTCACAGCATATTGATTTATAAGAGTATTCCAACATAAAATAGTTGTAGGAAATGCTATAGGAGGATAGAAGAGGACATCTAAATCAGAGAGATATGGAAAGTTTTCTGGTGGAGTTGACATCTAAGCTGAATGTGAAGGCTTTTGCTAGGCAAAGACGAGAAGAAGAAAGTTTTTTAGATAGAGGTTAACATACTGGAAAATGAACAAAACAAGGTCAAGTTATCTGGAAACTGTAAATTGAAAATTTTCTTGGCTGGGTGTGGGATTACAGGCTGATGCCTGTAATCCCAACACTTTGGGAGACTGAGGCAGGTGGATCACCTGAGTTCTAGACCAGCCTGGCCAAGAGGGTGAAAACCTGTCTCTACTAAAAATACGAAATTAGCAGGGTATGGTGCCACACACCTGTAATCCCAGCTATCAGGGAGGCTGAGGCAGAAGAATTGCTTGAACATGGGAGGTGGAGGTCATAGTAAGCCGAGATCATGCCATTGCACTCCAGCCTGGGTGTCAAGGGGGAAACTCTTTTGAAAACTACATGGAAAGGCCGGGCACGGTGGCTCACGCCTGTAATCCCAGCACTTTGGGAGGCCGAGGCGGGTGGATCACGAGGTCTAGAGATCGAGACCATTCTGGTCAACACGGTGAAACCCCATCTCTACTAAAAATACAAAAAATCAGCTGGGCATGGTGG